CACGATGCTAAAAGTCACGGTTCCCGACCGAATGGCGGATAGATCGCATCAGAATTGAAAAGCACGGAAAATTTCACGTGGAATTGACCCCTAAAAATCCAAAATCGGACCATCCAAGGCCCAAAAATGACCCACTAAGGAGGGGGCCAGTACCTCCCTCCATAATTTCTCTTCGGTCTCTAAATTGACGTGAATTCGCCAGAAAAAGACGGTTTCCCATGTAATCGACCTCGAGAAATCCAAATTTCATGGTCCCGAAGCTCCTCTAGCTCCCCTTGGGGGGTAAACGGGGGGGCCGAATTTTGAAAATCGGGGCTCCTTTCCGAATCGCAAATTGATTGCATCCAAATTGAGGAGCAGAATACATTTACATCTTAAGTGACTCCTAAGAGTTCTAATAGACCCCCTGAACGGCAGAAAGTAACCCCCTGGGGATGGGGGCTTCGCCCCCGCCAAAAATTTCTCAAGATTCCTCTTTGGTCGCAAAATTGACGTCGATTCTCCAAAAAAAGACGGTTTTCTATGTAATCGACCCCGAGGACTCTAAATTTCATGTTCCCTGAGCTCCTCGGGGTCGATTACACGGGAGACCGTCTTTTTCTGGAGTATCGACGTCAATTTTGGGACCAAAGAGGAATCTTGAGAAATTTTTGGCGGGGGCGAAGCCCCCCTCCCCAGGGGGTTACTGTCTGCCGTTTAGGGGGTCTATTAGAACTCTTAGGAGTCACTTAAGATGTAAATGTATTCTGCTCCTCAATTTGGATGCAATCAATTTGCGATTCGGAAAGGAGCCCCGATTTTCGAAATTCGGCCCCCCCGTTTACCTCCCAAGGGGCGCTAGAGGAGCTTCGGGACCATGAAATATGGATTTCTCGAGGTCGATTACATGGGAAACCGTCTTTTTCTGGCGTATTTACGTCAATTTAGAAACCAAAGAGAAATTATGGAGGGAGGTACTGGCCCCCTCCTTAGGGGGTCATTTTTGGGCCTTGGATGGTCCGATTTTGGATTTTTAGGGGTCAACTCCACGTGAAATTTTCCGTGCTTTTCAATTCTGATGCGATCTATCCGCCATTCGGTCGGGAACCGTGACTTTTAGCATCGTGACCCCCCCCTTTACCCCCCAAGGGGGGTGGGGGGGTTTTGATATCACGAAATTCGGATTCCTTGGGGTCAATTCCCTATTCATCTCCGCGGTCACCGACTTCGTACGACCAAAACCAACCGAGAAAAAGGCCTGGTACGGGTGGTCTGAAACACCCTGTATGTGCCGAATCTTTCTACGAATCTACTCTCTGTTAGTGCCGTGGTAAATAAAGGTTTCGCAGTTATTTTCCGCACTCGCGGCTGTGAAATTTTTCGGGAAGGTGCGCTCTATACAGGGAAACCAGTTGCATCCGCAGACTGCATCAACGGCCTGTATCGCTTAAACTTAGTGCGCGACAGTGCAGCGATGCAATCAGTGACGGAGGTTGTTGAGCCTCAAGCTCTCAATGCTCTTACTTCGAGTGTTTCACCTAATATCTGGCACCGACGTCTCGGCCATTTACCCAGGTATGGCATGGATCTTTTGAACAAAGGTATGGCTACCGGCATAAGTTTTGACAAGCATGACCTTCAGAATTCCAACAAGTGTATTCCTTGTGTTATGGGCAAGCATGCCCGCAAACCGTTCAAATTTATGCTGCAATCGTGCGAAAGATCTGTTGGGCACCATTCACACCGACCTTTGTGGGCCCATGAGTGTGCAGTCTTTCAGTGGCAAGAACTATATCCTCACGTTCACTGATGACTTCTCTAGAAAGGTTTTCATCTATTTTCTGCGAACCAAGGATGGGGTTTATGACCATTTTATAAACTTCAAGGCCTTTGTCGAAAACCAGACAGATGAGAGAATAAAAATTCTTAGATCCGACAACGGTGGGGAATACATCAGCAACGCCATGGCCAAGTTTTTGCAGCAGAATGGTATCTTGCATCAAAAATCTGTCCCCAGATCACCGCAACAGAATGGTGTTGCCGAGAGGGTGAATCGTTGGATCATGGAGAAGACTCGCTGCATGCTAGAAGATGCCAAACTTCCAAAAGACTTTTGGGCGGAAGCAGCCAACACAGCTGTCTTCTTAAAAAATCGTTCCCCCCACAGGGCTGTTGTCGGTAAGACACCTGAAGAAGTTTGGAGTGGAAAGAAAGTGGATCTATCTCATCTAAGAATTTTTGGCTGTGAAGCATATGCGCATGTATCAGATGAATTGAGGAAGAAGCTGGATGCAAAGAGTAAGAACCACATTTTTGTCGGTTATTCAGAAGAATCGAAAGGATATCGTCTCATTGACCCAGAAAATCCAAAGAAGATAGTGCGGTCACGCGATGTAGTGTTCATTGAAAACGGACAGAGTGCGAAACTGAAATCAGAAAATGCTGAATCTGAAATTAAAAGTTCCAATGATTTAGTGCGAATTTGTCTGGACAGCGACACGGGCTTGAATGATGACAACACCGACGAAGAACGTCGCTTCCCCATTAGGCAAAGGAAGAAAAAGGAGTTTCCAGATTACGTGATGTATCTCAGTGATGAAGTCGAATCTGTTCCAGTGACCTACAGCCAAGCAGTTAAAAGCAACGACAGCGCACAGTGGCAAATAGCGATGGAGAGAGAAATGCAGGCTCTGCACCACAACAACACATGGAGACTCGTCGAAAGACCAAAATATGTCAATGTTATTAAATGACATCCAGTCAATGGTGATCCTGAGTTCAAGGCTAGGTTAGTCGCTAAAGGGTTCACACAAGAGTTTGGCGTTGACTATGATGAGACATATTCTCCAGTCATAAGTAAATCTTCTCTCAGATTGCTCTTTAGTTTGTCTGCAAAATTGGGTTTAAAGATTGACCATGTTGATGTTAACAATGCTTTTTTAAACGGAGACTTATCCGAAACTATCTACATGGAACAGCCTCAAGGCTTTGTAGATAAAAATGACAAAGACAAAGTTTGCCTACTCTCAAAAGCTTTGTATGCTTTAAAGCAAGCGTCACGTGTCTGGTACGGAATGTACGACTCAGTTATGTTAAAGTTAGGTTTTACAAAGTCTAAATATGAACCTTGTGTGTACCTCAAAATTTCAAAAGATCAGTATACTATTGTAGCTGTACATGTCGATGACTCCCTAATTTTTTCTAATGATGAAATCACGGTAAACGATCTCAAAAAAGAGATGCAAAACGAATTTGACATAAAAGATTTAGGCACTGCAAGAGCAGTCTTGGGTTTAAATGTTGATCAATCAGCCAACATGATAAAAGTAAATCAAATTGCTTTTATTGAAGATCTGTTGACCCGTTTTAATATGACAAATTGTAACCCTGCTAGTACCCCTATGATTGCCAATCTTCAGTTTGAAGCAAGTGAGGAGATAGTCTGTCCCCCTGATGTCCCTTATCAATCATTAATTGGATCTTTAATGTATTTGGCAGTCAACAGTCGCCCTGATATTGATTATGCGACAGCTTACCTCAGTCAATTTAACACTAAGTTTACAACTGAGCATTGGCAAGCAGCCAAACGAATGCTACGGTACCTTAAAGGCACTAAAAACTTAAGTTTATGTTATAAAAAAGACGACAGGGACCTCATAGGTTTTGCTGACGCCGATTCGGCTCAGAATAAAATTGATCGGAAATCATATTCTGGCTATGTATTTTGTCTGTCAAGTGGTCCGATCTCCTGGATGTCGAAGAAGCAATCTTGTGTTGCTCAAAGCTCAACCGAGTCTGAATATATTGCCCTAAGCGAAGCGAGCAAGAAAGCTGTATTTTTGAGAGGTCTACTAAATGAAATCCTAAATGTTGTTAGACCAACGACCCTTTTGTTTAGTGACAGTCAAGTCGCTGATAATTTATCCAGAAATCCAGTTCTCCATAATCGTTCAAAGCACATTGATGTTCGTTTCCATTATATTAGAGAATGCGTTGAAAAGGGTACTATTGTCGTAAAGTATTTGTCGACCGACAAAATGCCAGCAGATGCTTTGACTAAGCCATTACCTGGCGAAAAACTTAGATTTTGTAGAAATGCTATCAACCTGATTTAAAAAACAAGTTTTGTATTTTCCTCTTTCCCGTAACCACACAATGTATTTCTATTTAGTATTTAGATTAAGGGAGCGTGTTGTTATTTTAATCTGTAATCCAAATACAAGAACTGTCCCTCTGTACGCGAAGTCAGTCTGTTCTCCCTGAGTGAGTGAGTCTCTCTCTGTTACATTATCTATACTCTTTGTAGCAATGTAGTGCTAAGTTGGTTCTGCTCTAATAAAATGTTTAACTCTGTTCTCCCTGAGTGAGTGAGTCTCTCTCTCTTACATTATCTATACTCTTTGTAGCAATGTAGTGCTAAGTTGGTTCTGCTCTAATAAAATGTTTAACTTAAGAAGCTTCCCGTCTCGTCTCTGGTCTAGTTATTTAGTAACTTAACAACAGACAAAAAGTAGCTCCCCTTGACGCAAGACCATTCTCCAAGTTTCGAATCTTTACCTCAATTGAGTAAAAAGTAAGAGGAGATATAAGGAATTTTTTTGATCACGGGGTCACGGGGTGTATGCACATGCATTAAGTACTCCAGCTGTTTGGTAGCAAAATAGTCTGCGACGTAAGATGCACTCTGCATGTCAATAAGATATTTTTAACGGTTTAGTAATTTGCGAATACATTTAACAAATACTTTATTTTTTTTTCTCTTAATACAGGTTGGGGATCACATAGAAAGAATTAATAAAGTGTCTTTAGTTGGTAGAAGGCATTTTGAAGTCGCAAAATATCTCAAAGAAATTCCCAAAGATTCTACATTTACCATACGACTTGTTGAACCACTTAAAGCAGGATTTTGTAAGTTATTACTTCTGAATGGTTTTACCTTCTTTTCATGATCTCTTTCTTCTCACGCTGGGGTGTACAATAAGATGTCTGCTCTTACATGATTTTTTTTGAATGAAACCAACTCCTTATTTTTCCATGAAATTTTTAAAGATGTTTTCGGGTAGTGTAAAAAGAATATACGAACTTTTTCCCAATTCAAAGTGGCCCAGTGGCCATGGCTGGTCTTCCTGCACCATACAAGACTATCTAAAGTTCGGGACCCCCCCCCCTTATAATTTTTGAACCAAAAGTGCTAGAGACTCGAAAGGGGAATGTTCCCAGGACAAAGGGAACCGCTTTTTGGCATATTCAAAATTTCGGGGGGGGGGGGCGGCTTCCTTGAGGAAGGGGTGCGGAACCTGACTAATTTTTCAAATATGAACCCCTATCTTGTGATACATGATTTGAATGGGCTTAAAAAAAGAAAACTTTTGGAAAAAACCGATTGTTAGTATCTCAATTTCTAACTAAATGGCGACCAAAAAATGACGGAAAATGCGTTTTCTGGCTATTTTCCGACGGGCTCACTTGAAAAATGGTGTCCAGGGGTTTTTGGGCGCGAGAAAAATAAAGGAGGAGTGTCGTTTTGGGCCTTTTCCGGCCCCACCTGGATTTTGCTAAATGTTTCATATTTTCAAAGTACTATTCTTAGGTAGACTCTGTGCCAAATATTTTACCGAACGGAGCCCATGCAAGGGCGCAGCAGCGCCTCAAACCCAAAATCCTGGAATCGAAAAATAATTATTTTCATCGACTTTTTCTACTGTTATCACTCTTCCAGCAGATGATTCCTATGTATTTTTTTGCGTAATTTCCGTTTCTGGCCTTTTAAAGGCCTTCGATTAATTTTCAGGGGCCTTATGGCTCATTGTTGCCATTTTTGGCCCATTTTTAGGGGGTTTTTCCATTTAACACATTCAAAACTTAATTTAATCCAAAAACTGTGTACATTTTTGAAAAGTACGTAAAAAAATGAATCAATGATGTTCAGTCAAATTTTTCCTACGTTACCAAATGTCCGAGAAAATTGGTCCCAAAGTGTCAAAAACGGCATAACGATAAATCGCCGCGCCTAAGGCTCAAGAAAGTGGAGTACAACTTTCATATTGTAAGGGCGTAAAGGAAGGGGAAATAGCCCAACTCGCGATGAGACTAGAAAGCACTAAGGTGGCGATCACCGGCAAGTACGCATGTATGCAACACTGACCCCTCGCTGGCCGCTAGGCCGCCGCTATATAGTAATGCCCAAAAGATGTAACCCTGGCGCGGCACGCGCCAACGAAAGCACCTATCTGCGATCACCTCGGAAATACGCGATCTCTCACGTATGTCCGAGGTGCTCCTAACAGAGGCGTACTCTCAAGGTAGAGTACGTCTCTGCTACACGCCCCCTCCCTAAGAAAAAAAAGAAAAAAAAAAAAAACTAAACGGTAGGCGGTGCACTGAACCCCAAAATTTTGAAGAAACGTTACCCCATGCATACTTCTCGGTGGTCAGAACCCTTGCATTACTGTATTCAGATACTTAAAAGTAGGTTACAAAATTTCAATAGTCCCCCCCATAATATTGATATTTACATTTTCCCCAAACTAATAACTAATTTACAAAAAAAAAAACTGATGCATCCGCTCCCCCTGAGTGAACTGCCGAACGCGAGCAGCTGCCAACTGTCGGTTGTCCGAGCGCCTTGCCGTTACTCCAGAATCGCCATCCGTCCAGTCCCTTATGCGTGGTTTGCCGATGACCCTCGTCCGTTACGCCGCAGGAAAGGTTCCCAAGAAAAGTAGGTTGCTGAGATTGAGCGAAGAACGCCCAAAAGTCGCCCCCACCACACCAACCATGAAGAGGCTTCTGACGCTGACATCTCCCAGGTTGACAGAAAATGTCCGCTGCCATGATTGAGGGAAGAACGTCCAAAAGCTGCGCCCTCCGTCCATGTAGACCCGCAGAGTCTTCCTGCTTGATAGCCCGAGAAGAGAATGAAAGTTGTTCTCGCAGTAGCTCCAGATTAGAGAATCCTGCACTGCCATAGGCCCTCTGGATGACACCATCCTAGGGACGTAGACCAGCAGCCAGTCTGAGAGACGATGTTGATGCTCCAGGAATAGCTCCAGACCGGAAAACTAGCATAGTCCTGAGGCTCCACGATCAGTCAGACCACGAGATGGGACCCAACGGCCGGGACGGGTAAACAGACAGCTCCACAACACTGCGCAACTGAGTGGGTGAACGGTCCGGTTCTCGCACCCGGAACTAGACATCTGAACGATTCCTTCTGCGCCAGCGCCCCCAACCGACTGCTGCATCATCCTGGATCCCCATTGCCACTCAAGGGAATTGAAGCACCTCAAAATATAAGTTTCTGAAATGAACAAATACATACATTACAAAATACATTTTTACTATTCCAAAAAAAAAGAAAAACTGAGAAGAGGTCCTAATTTAAAAAGTCTCAAGAAAGTAGGATTCCAAAAAAAAACAGAATAAAAGACACATAATAAATGGAATCTAAAAATAAATAATCTGCATACTTGCACTCTAAAAGAGTGTGGAATCTAAAAATAAATAATCTGCATACTTGCACTCTAAAAAAGTGTCGTACATTGCATCAACTTTGATGTTTTCTAGCCTCTTTTTTTTAAACTCAAACCATCCGAATATTCTCTTATTTATACAATTTTTAGTCCTAATTAATTGTTTTTTTTTATACAGCTAAAGCCCCTCATTCCCTGGTCTCTTGGGAAGGAGGGGAGGGGGTCGAAACTCGACGCCATCCACCACCGCCATTTTGTATCAGACAAAACAGACGGAAAAACTGTCCATCCTTTTATGACAGTAAATAGATGAATAAAAACTGGTAAAAAAAAAGTAGGCAAGAATAAGATAATCGGAACTATCGTCCTGCAGACGGACTCCCAATAGTCGCGGATGTAGCCCTTCTTAATTTAAATGCTAAAATAATCACTGCTACTACAGCTATACCCATGACTATTGTGAGGCCGCTCAGGTGAACTTGGACGGGAATACGAGGTTCCAATTTTCGCATATCGGACAAGCGATCCAGAAAGGCGTTAAATTGCAAATCTCCTTTAACTTGTCTCGCATAGTCCTGAATGCTCGAGGCCAACGTTCCTCTCTCCTCCTCTTCTCTCAGCGCTTCCTCTTCATTGCGGGAGAGCAATTCAGTACCGTCGACCGAGGGGATCAAAGGGTCGTTCCAAATCCCACCCATTTCACGGGTGAACTTCGCTCCTCCGAGCAACATGAGTTCATCTGAACTCACGGTGCACTCCTTTACACCACGCAGTACTCCAGCTCCTGACAACTCTCGAAACTCGTGGCCCGTGCCGCACTTAATCCCCACTTTCGTCGGTTTGTCTACTGAGAAAACCCACTCGCTATTAATCTTTTCAAAGAAACTCGACTGCCCGATCAGTACCTTTTTTTTGCAACAGCTAGAGTTCCTAGAACTAAATAAAGAAAATTCACATGTATTAACAGAACTCGAAATTAAAGGAAACTCAGCAGGACATACAGTAATATTTACAGATTTTTTACAAGAGTTAACCGCCTGATAACCAAGAACAGTATAAACTTTAAAATCCGAGGCTACCAGGAGGAAATTACCTACATCTAGTTTGACGAAAGATCTCAAAATTTTATTATAAATAGGGACCGGGGTTATCTCCCATAGTTGAAAATCTAAACCTACCGTTTTAAGCGGTAGCCCCAGGGTTACCCACAATTCGTTTTGCTTAGTCTGCACAGATACTTCAGCCAGATCATAAAAAATTTGCAATGTTTTCAACGAAACTTTTGACACAAATTTGTACTCTTCCGTAATAGATTTCTCTCCGCGTAGTAAAACTTTTAACAGAAACTTCGGAGACAATAGTTCCGGAGACAAATAACTTTTTAGGGCCGCCTCCAGTCCTGCGCGAAGTTGGGCCCTGTCAAATCTTAATCTACTTACTTCAGTACTCAACTTACGCAAGTGGGTTTCTGTCTTGACCCAGCGTTGGGTGGTGTCAATCTCGTTATTATTGTTGACGACATCCCGCGCCAGTGAACTTAAAATCTTTGCGTTGCTTACCGCGTTTTTAAGCATGTTCTGGATGACCAATTTTTTGGGGGTTACCTCCATCTCAAGTTCCTCAACTCGCCTTCCCAGCACGGAAAATCCGTTTTCCATCCCTTCTCTATCTTGGTCATCCATCACGCCTGTTATACTTGATAATAATCGTCCCAAGCCGTCGCACAGTGATCGGGTCCGCCGACCTCCAGGAACCAATTCCAAGAGAGCGTTTGTTTCCCCCTCATACTCGGTTAGTTCAGAATGTAACAACTCCAATTCCGTCAGAAAAGTGGTACTATTCTTCTCAGACTTAACTCCCATTAAATACGAGTGTAACTGCTGGAAATCCATTTCTAAATTTTCATCCTGTTTCTGCAGCAGAGTCAAGTTGTATTTTAGTACCACCGAGTAAGAAGTGGATGTATATGCAACCGGCCCCCATTTTTGAAAAAACACCCCAGACGACAGCTGGTCCACTCTCACCCCTTGGGAAGGGTTCCCTTCAGCGACTATGCTGAGAACTGCAAAAACAAGGAGGGCTGGTAAACTGAAACAAATAAAATTGGTAAGGTAGGATGGAAAAAAAATTAAAAGCAAAGCAAAACATTCAAGAAAGTTAATCAGGTTCAAAAATTTTTTTTAATCGGCTTATGTGAAAACGCTCTATTTTCCCACCCATATCGACATCATACAAACCATTTTGGTTTACAACTTCTGACACTATGACGCCCTCTTTGTCCCATTTTTTCCTTAATTTTTCGGTTACTCCAATTTTACGATTTGGGTCAAAAATCAACACAGCCTCACCAGGGAAATATTTGATGTTTTTATGTGATTGCTCAAACTCAGCTTGTTGACGCTCCTGAGCTGCAACTGATTTGAGGCGGATGAGCTT